GGGTTTCATTTATAGCAAGAAGATCCATAACTTTAACTTTCAGGCTGTCTTTGCCAGGGGAAAATGCCTACACAAGATTAGTCAATGTATAACGTGCTTTATTAGAGCAGTCATCTTCTGATTCTATGTGTTGTGCCCTATCAGGATGTTGATGTTCATGGCTCTCCACAATTTCCTATCCTTTGTACTTCTTAACAAATTGTGTTTTTTTCCTAACTTTCCTTAACCCTGCTCTGCCAGGGAGTCTATGTATTGTTTTCCTTTGTCTCCTTTGATTTCAATATGTCCTGGAAGTATCAAATTTTCCAAGCCCTCTGTCCTCATTATGTGCCCCAGAAATTTCAACTATCACTTTTCTGATGTTAAGTATACGAGTCATTTTTATTTTCACTTTCTTTAAAACTTCATCATTGCTCATATGTTCAAGTCCGTGATATTCTCAACATCCTTCTGTAGAACGATATTTTGGTTGCTCAAAGTCTCTTCTTCATTTTTAAGGAGATTATCCAGCATGCACTTGCCATAAATGAGGACTGATATTGCATTATTTCTAATGGAAATTTTCTATTTTTAATACTTTGCTTAGATTTTGAAATGCCTCTTTCAGTACCAATGCACCTTTGGATTTCAGCCTCACATATCCATCCTCTGTTAAAACACTTCCCAGATATTTAAATTGTTCTACTTGTTTGATTTTGGTATCATTAATTTATAATTTACATTTTGGGCTATTCCTTTTGCTAACAACCATACATTCTGTCTTCTAGCAATTGATGTTTAGTCCTTTTTTCTTGCTTTTCTTCAGTACCTTCTGTAGAAGATCTTGTAATTTCTTTTATTTATCTGTTATCAACACTGTGTCATCTGCATATCTTATGTTGTTAAGATTGTGGCCATCAATAAGGAATCCTGGAAGGACTTCTAATTCTTTCAATTCTCTACTGTATAGGTTGAATAAGTGTGGAGAGAAGACACATCTTTGTCTTACATCGCTTTCTATTTTTGTATATTAACTGAACTTAATTCAGTGGTTTTAATTGGATTCCCTGTATAAGTCTTTTACAATTAGAGGTTGAAAATTGTATGTTTATGTAGCAATTCTTCATTTAAATTATTCTTAAATGAAACATAGAATTTCTATTGAATATTTGGCAACTTCATCTTGTGTTTCAAATTTAATAACATTGTTTTTTCTTTCTTTTTTTTTTTAGTCAGTATCATACAGAGCAGTAAATCCTCTAAGACACAATGGGTTCACAAGGTGTTGAAGTATTAGGAACATAAACATTGATAATGAATGGGAGGACAGTAGATAACAATTGCATTGACATTTTTGAAGATTAAAGTTGGCTGGAAAGCATGGAGCTGGAAGGGAGCTCCACAAATGAGACGTGCAAGAAACTGTTAGCATAGAACTTATGGCTGCATCTAGCCAGCTCAACTGTAAATTGATGAAATCTGGATGCCAGTCTAATACTGCACTTAAATTCATAAAGTCTGGGTACCATAGTGAAGAACCCATCTGCACAATTTCCATGAAAGTATTCATAGAAAAGGCACAGAGAAGCAACCTTATGGCAATGGGAAGGTGACTGAAGCTGAGCTGCCAGATCAGGACCAATAATATTGCTGATTCTTCTTTACATTTTATCAAGAAATAGCACCACATAATATGTGGCAGCAACATGCTAAATGAATGGTAGACTTATAGATAGGTAAGATAGATTCTGGAAGGAAAAATTGTCTTGCACAACACAGTGAACCAATTTTCTTAACAGATGACCTATGGAAATATTTAAAGGAACTTGATGACATTAAATGTTGATATCTAAGTACTTTTGACCAACACTGGTCATTTTTAAGGAATGGTGATTTAAAATGTCAGCACCTATTTCATTGTGAAACCACTGTAATGACTTCACATGACACTAAAAAATTTTTTTATTGATTGATTGAGTCATTCATTTTCTATGACTGTTCAAACCTTTGCAGGTTATTTAAAGCCAGAAAATATTTATTTTAGATTGTAAGAATTTTCTTTTTGAAGGTAATAATGATTTAGTGATACAAGTCTTACTAATTAACCTATAGCTGGGACGTAGATTCATATCTTTTCAAAGAGTATTTTGCATGTAAACAAATATAATGAACCTAACTCGAATTGGAACTCAGCTCTCCAATTAACAATTCCAAGCCATTATACATTACACCACCTACACATCCATGCTTACAGCACCTATATTCCCAAGTAGTCACCCACTAAGGTATTGATTGGGTTCAATGTTGCTTAACTTCTATGTTTGTATGGGAGCTGATGTGATATGGCTGTAAGTCCTCTTATTTTTTGATGCTTAAGATGAGGGGTATATAATTTAGGGGACGTTTTAGTTATTAGGATTGAATAATGTGTTTTTGTGCAGATATTATAATAATATATTAGAACACAATATATTAGAACACAATTGAAAGGTTTATTCTAAAATTGGACATTATTTTCCAAACAACCTAATAGTATAGAGAAATATAATAGGAAGTGATAATATCTCATGTCAAAATTGGTTACCCATTTAGTTACTGACCAGGCATGATGTTGCTTAACTTTGGTCATGGTACAGGAACTGGTGTTTCAACATAATGTGGCCATAAGCCTGTTACCAAAAGGAAAACTTTTACAATTGCAGATAGTATATTTCAAGAGCAAGTCTTTATGTTGATATCTAAATACTTTTGACCACCATTTATTGTTTAAAAGGAAATAAGATTAAATGTCCAGAAATAGCAAGTATGGCATTTGTGTTGCCAGTTTAAAGTTTGAAATGAACATTGGTGTAGAAACCTGTCAGTTGCCTTTGCGGAATAGAAGAAAGTCACCTATACTTAGTTTAGGTAAGAATCAGCAGATGGTTTAGTTATTTCATGTTGGCTGCTGAGTTAACATCAGGGATCTAACATCATGCGCAGGGCCAGAGGGCTATGTGACACTGGCTAAATATATAAGTTTCGTGACACCCTGCCAAATAAATAGCTTCTCTTTTTTTTATATCTAACTGAACCATTTGGTATCATGTAAAGTTATTATGGTGGGTTCATGTGTCATGATTATGAAACATGTCCATGTGCCTTTAAACTGTAAAGTCATATTTGTCAAGTTTTATTTTGCCTCATTTCTTTCCAAGCAAGGCAATAAAGCCACTAAGGTGCAAGGAGCTACTGAGTGCAAAAGAATATGCGAAAAAGAAAACATTAAGAAGAGAGAATAAAAGAACAAGAAGTAAGAAGACTGAGGATGACAATGGACATTGCATAAAATTTTTTGAAGATCAAAGTTGACTGCGAGACAAGAATCCAGAAAAGTGTTCCAGAAATGAGAAGAGCAATAAAAAAAAAAACCCATTAACAAGGAACTTACAGTTGCATGTAGCCATTTCAACTGTAAAATGATGAAACCTTTCTGCCAATCTAGTAATGGGCTTAAATTCGTAACATCTAGGTATTAAAGAGGAAAGCTCATCAGTACAATTACTATGAAAATATTTATAGAAAAGGCGTATGGAAGCTATGGAAAGTGAAACAAAGATGTCAGGTGAGGACCAATATTGAAGATTCTTTTTTGTAGTTTACCAAAAATATCTCAATACATAGTAGAAGTACCAGACCAAATATGGAAGCAGTACTTAATAACTAATGAATGGTAGACTTATAAATATGTAAGATAGATTCTGGTGAGAAAACTTGTCTAGCATGACACAGTGAACCAACATTCTTAGCAGCAGACCTAGCCCTTGATTCAATTTAATCTTTCCACTTCATATCAATAGAAAATGATAATGTTTATTAATATTAATTTGATTTAATATTTCTTATCGAAAAGTGATTTGATACTAAATTTTACTTCATAGACATAACATAAACACACATTTCAATCATCAACAATAAAAAAAAAATTGATTTCTAAGTTTATTTCTAGATTTTAATCTCCTTTCCTTGAAAATGACCAATGATGGTCATAAGTACTTGCATATCAACATTTAATTTCAGTATCTATTTGAAGACCAATATTACATAATAATTCAGTAGTATTTTCTTTGTTTCTAATGAAATTTTTCCATTTTCAATACTTTGCTTAGATTTTGGAAGGCATTTTCCACTATCCCAATGGGTTTTTGGATTTCAGTGTCACACTTTCTTCCTCTGTTAAAACATGTCCTAGATATTTAAATTGTTGGACTTGTTTGATTTTGGCATCCTCAACTTTTAATTTGCCTGTTAGGCTGTTCCTTTTGCTAACATCCATGCATTCCATATTCTTCCAATGGATATTTAGTCCTTCATTCTCACTTTCTTCCAGTACCTTATGTAGGAGTTCTTGTAGTTTCCTTTCTTCATCAGCTATCAACAAGGTATCAACTGCATATTTTATGTTAAGATTGTGCCTGCCAATAATGAATTCTGGAAGAACTTCTAAGAAAGACATGTTGATGTTTCTCTGATCACGACAATCTTAACCTATTTGTTTAGGGTTAACCTCTTACTCAGTAACCCTTTACTTCGAGTGGCTCTTGAGCCTTGTACCAGTAAACATTATTAAAAAATAATCTCTTCTCCTCTCAGCTATACATTAAATAGAGGAGTTCTCTAGCCTTGTCTAGCAACCAGTCTAAGAGAAGAAAAAGTTAGATTTCAAACTATGGAGAAAGCAACAAGAAACTACTTCAATATCTTCCCCCAACATGCATGGCATTTCACAGATAATAATGTAAAGGAGTTTGTGAAGGGCTATGATTTGCCTACATTGCATTAAAAATTGCCTGTATATGTCATTAGACTATGCAAAGAAAAAATGAGACAGTTTTTCGAGAATTGAAGGATTCTTCCACAGAGCAATTTTTCAGAAATGACAGTGATAAGAAATCATTTGTGGCAAGGATTTACACAAGATTTCCTTTTAGCAATAACTATAGAAGCATAGATGCTTAAGAATTAGCAAATATTTTACTTACTATATTTCTCGAGTTTTCCAACTTGCATTCAATGCTGTTATTGCACTGCCTTGATCTAAGATGTTTAGTTCATGGAGTCCATGAAATGGTGCCTGAAAGAAAAAAACAAAACAAATAAAACTGAAATTTATTTACAACAAGTAAAATTCCTTTGAGATCAAACCAGAGAAAAACAAAGAATACATTTTCTGTTTTACAGGTGAGAATTGTTGAAACAACACAGTGAATTGTTGGGAGTAAAAATATCAGTTCCAGTGGACATTATAACTTTTAAGATATTTTTTCATGTTTTAGTTGCTTTTCTGAGATTAAAACAAAAATTTGTCAAAATTCGAATACATCTGAATGAAACTTTGACTGTTGTTAGTTTTCGGAGATATAGAATTCAAACTTATCTGGAAACTCACAAATTGATTTGAAAATTGATTTTGAAGCAAATTATATAAGTAGATAAGGTCACAGCCTTTCCTAATGAGGAAAAAGATTATTTTGCACAAAAATATTTTTAACATAAACTCCTTCTTTCTCAGTTATCCAATTCATACTCCTTCCCAGAATTTTGAAAAGGGGTAGAGGTTTATCCCTTATTTCCTGTTTAGGAATGGGTTTCTGGTTCATTCTGAAAGTCTATATTTCATCTCTATACTTCTAACAACTTTGTTTAAACTCAGATATTTTATTTCCTACTTATTTTTTTTTTTCGCTTTAATAAGAGTATATAGGTTCCATTATCATCTGGTTTATACTCCTCCCAGGTCTTTTGAACAGGAGTAGAGGCTCATCCTTTGTCTTGTTTAGGATTGGGTTTCTAGTTCATTCTAATGTTTTTTCATTCTCTTTCACTCCCAGTTGCTCCTTGCATCTTAGTGGCATTATCAACTTGCTTGGGGTGAATTGATTAAAAAAAATAAATTGTTTAACAAAACAAAAAGCTGACAGATTTGATTTGAGCATGTCTTTAAATCTTGTTTTTGAATTTTTTATTCTTAACAAGGTTTTGTACAAGTGGAAAGGGGTACAATTTGAGTCGTACTATGGACCTGAGAAGAACATTTTTAAAATTACTTTTAATAGCTATTTCAATCAAAATTTCAAAAGGTTTCAAAAGAATGTATTTGAATTTTGTTACAGAGAGAAACCCTTCAAAATACATCATGCATACAACAGAACATTTATAAGCAACAAAAACAGTAATCACAGCTTGTAACTGATAAGAAATATTCTAACATCAGTTAATTAAGATTGGTTCGAGAAATGATGGTGTAGTGATCTGCATGCTTATCTTTTTACTTCATCACTTCTTGAACAAATCTTAATTGTTTTATAACCCTTCACACAGAACTTTTCACTGCCAGTTCAAGAAAGACGTTTGGATGACTAATACAAAAAAAGAGAATGTCTCACATCGAGAATATTTAACATCGAAAAACATAAAGAAAAAAAACAATTATTTTTAATAATATGTGGAAATCTCCACCCTTTGCCTGATGATGGTTGTGAGACCAGAAACCCAGGTAGCAAAATTATGGAAAATAAAGCATAATATTTTTTTTAAAAGTCCACATTACAACCAAAAATGTTTGTGGTTTCTCTCTTCTTTTTAATATATATATATATATATACACGATAAAATATAGATTTAAGATATGTGATATTTAGTGCTTAAACACAATCGTCAGGCATGAAACCAACTGTTGCCTCTGGGTGTTGACTTCAATGTTTACTTTATATATATATATATATATATATATATATATATATATATATATAGCGCTGTATATATCTGTGATATATATATATATATATATATATTTACATCTACAAGCCTGTATCTATGAACATAAAGGAGATTTATGTCTAGACAACCATTCAAATTCTCTCATAATACACAGGAACAAAACTGGCCATTACTTGTCTCATCAGTCTGCCAGATTCCGATCTATATTTGGTCCCAAATCATATATATATATTAGGTATAAAGTAACCATTATTGAGAATATTTTCAAAATATATTGTTTTATCTTATAATAACTACTCTCATAAAAAATATTGATAAAATCTTATTTGTTGTTATCAGGTTTTATTATGAAAACAAGCTAAATGTAACATGTTTTAATTTATAAAGAGCCACAAATGCTATAGGTCATAGAAACAGACATTTTATTAACACCATTTTCCCTCTAGCTGAATAAACCTTTGTTTTACTATTTTACAACTGAATATAGGTTCCTTATTGTTTCAGCAAACTTTCATCAATTTTGTTAACTTTTCTACAACTTGGACTTAAACATTACTTGAATACAGTTTTCTTATCTCATATAAATCTCCTTTTACTGAAGGACCATGAGTTTTCTATTGTATTAACATCTGGAGAGTTTGAATGCCATCTCCTCAAATTATTTTTTGGGACATTTTTTGAATTAGTGGGCTAGTAGTAAGCTTTGCAGAATGTTAAGCTGCATTATTTTGCATGGATATACTTGAAGTTTCTTAGTTTTTATCTATACCATTCAAACATGTCTGCATTTATTTTAAACATCATCAGGGACCTATAAGTTTACTACCTACAGTAATCAGATTGGTTAGCTATTTCTATGAAGGACCTAACCTTGGCCCAGCCATCAAGTCAATCTGATGTAGCTTTATAATCATCACTAAAAACGTCTATTAAGAATTTAATTCTTTCATGTGCTTCTTTATGCCACATCTTTTTCTCTTTGTGATGTTCACTTAACGACAATAGTTTAGTTCTTTTATGCCTTGAGTCAACATTCTAAATATTCTGTAATAATTTTTCTGTTTACAATAACACCACCAGATAAAAAATGTTTTCTTGCTGATAAAACCACTTTTCTGGCTTTTTACAATTTTAATTTTTCTTGCATCTCTTTTTGTGAAAATTCTTAGAACATTTTTTTCTTGTTCATATCTTGCCAATGATTTAAATTTCCTTTTGATTATTCTTTGATTTCTGTTCAATTCTTTCACATTTTACAATATTGCATTCCAATCATAACATATCTTGCTTCCATGCTCAGGTTATAGCTCTCTTATAAGCCATAGAAATCCATATATATTTGAAATGAAAAATTAAATATTAATATAATATTAATAAAATCTCATCCCTCTGAGTAAGTTATAAATATTGCAAATAAAAACAGACAAGCTGAAAATCACATTGTATATACATCATATAAATATATCCTGTATATTTTACCAATATTGGTTGGTCAATACTGGTCATCAGTAAAAGGATGAGCCCAAAATGTGATTTGCAGGTTGGGAACACTGGAATCAAGCAGGCATGGAAATTTAAATACCTGGGAAGCATTTTGACAGAGGACAGTAAATGTGATACTGAGATCCGTAGACATATTGGGATAGCCAAAGACACATTTCAAAAGCTGGGCAGAGTATTGGGAAACGGGAGGATTTCTTTGGTAACAAAGAAAAGAATACTGAGCTGTTGTTATATAACATCTGTCCTTCTTTATGGCAGCAAATGTTGGACAATTTCCTCAAAGATGAAGAAGTGATTTGAGGCAACAGAGATGTGGTTCTACAAAAGGATGCTAAGGATATCATGAACTGAGTATGTGAGCAACGATGAGGTCTTAAAGAGGTTGAAAATAAGGAGGAGGCTTATACTTAACATTAGGAAGAGGAAGCTGAAGTTTCTAGGACAGATAATGATGAAGGAGGGCCTGGAGAATCTGATACTTGTGGGTCGAATAGAGGGAAAGAGAGACAAAGAAAACAATGCGTGACATACCTGGTGGGCTTAAGTAAGTGAATAAAAGAAAGTGATCTGAGAGAGGAAGCAGAGGAAAGGAACTTATTGAGAACTGCAAGGGATAGAGGGGGTGGAGAGCCATGATCACCTATGTCCTGAAAGGACATGCCATATAAAAAGAAAAATACTAGTTTTATCGTGAAAACATTGATTTGTATGAAAGTGTCTGGTAATGGTAATATTAGCCATTACCTTACAAGAAATCATTTATCATTCATTAAACTTATAAAATCTTTTTTAAAACAATTCTTCAGAAAAAGGGGTTTCTCAAGTCAAGTTGCTATTATCACTCTTTCCAGTATTGATGGGGGTTTCCTTCCTAACCTTTTATTTGAAGTAGTGTGGAATGTCAACATCTTGATTATGTCATTATTTTTTCTTCTCAAGCACAGTAGCAGTTATCACTCTTTCCAGTATTGATGGGGGTTTCCTTCCTAACCTTTTATTTGAAGTCATGTGGAATGTCAACATCTTGATTATGTCATTATTTTCTCTTCCCGAACCCAACAGCTGTTATCACTCTTTCCAGTATTGATGGGGGTTTCCTTCCTAACCTTTTATTTGAAGTCATGTGGAATGTTAACATCTTCATTATGTCTTTATGTTTTTATTTTTTGTGTTACATGTGTTATCTATTTTAATTGTTGTTGCTGTTAGTAGCCACCAAGTGATATGGTTTCTGTTATTGTTGTGACCAAGTAATGGTTAAGAAATAACAAAACAAGAGGTTGCAGATAAATAGTGTATTGAACAGTAAATACAACAGAAGTGTGTTACACGACTTGGGAGTGTTTGTCGGTTGACCAGCATTCAGTCTATATCACTGTCTCCCCCAAGGCTTACTTTTCCTACTACTTTATAGTAAGTGGAAGATTCCGAAATAGACTCATTAGAGGGAAGATACTACAACAGTTACTTGGTATAGTTCTTTGTTTGTGAATCTGAATCAGTCCAAAGAGGAATGATCTTTGCCAACGACCTCAGGCTTCACTCACTCAAAGCCTTTTTTCATCATTGATCTTAGGATGCGGTGTTATACAGCCAAGAGTTTCTGATCAGGTTTGATGCCATCCATGATGTAGAGAAGTGCTACTCAAAGTGGCGGTTGTGGACCAGTGTCCGTACGTGAACCTATCAGCTGCCAGTATGCGGCCAGAGTTCAGGCCATGCTAAGAAATCATTTGAAGTTTATTTTTAATTACTTTTTATATGTTTTGATATTGAATTATTTTTTTGCAAAATAAATGGAAGGTAAAAAAATAGTCAACTTTTATTATATTCATTATATATATATCGTTT